TGTAAATTGACCATTGTATGCACACTTCAGAAGTAGTAAGTTACCCGGGTACTTTTTGCCTACTCTTTTATGAGTGCTGTGAATTTAGACACACTTATTTTGTCACATACTGTTTTTCGCCTACTATATAGTAGGGAAGTATGCGGTTTCAGATGCAGCCAATAATTGGATTTAAACGTGCCTTGTTGCCTTCCTACTTCTGTATGCAGCCTGAGGCAGCATTTATCAGCTTTTCAGACACAGCCATTCTGTTAATTCGTTACTCTGGAAATAGAAAATGAAGTTGAGTGCACTGAATTGTGGTATACAGTACTATTGTCTATTTTCTGAAAAATACAGTAAAAACAGTAATATTGTTAAATATTACTATAATAAAAATTAAAAAGGTAATTGTGACTTATTTCACAATTCTGACTTATTTCACAATTCTGAAGTTTATATCTCACAGTTGCAAGTTATAAACTCAGAACTGAGTCAGAGCTGAGAGACAAAGATGTAAACTCAGAACTGCAGGAAAAAAGTCAGAATATTGAGATAAAAAGTCAGTTACCTTTTTAATTTTTATTTAACAAATAGCAGGTTCAAAATAATTTATATGAAACAAATTTTAGTAGCAATGTAAAAGTATTTACTGTCACACAATTTAATGCATCCTCCTTACTGAAATTACTATTAATTTCATAAAAAAAAAAAAAATGTTTAAATCACCGACCCCAAACTTTTAATGGTAGTTTTATCTCAAGTCAAAAATCTGACCTAAACTTTCATCATTTAAACGTGCAACACAATACTTTTAAGTAGTGGAATAGTAGAAATAATGTTTCTCTGAGAAACAGAGTTGCCGCAGTCAGGTCGCAGTGTTGTTGAAAAACGTTTTGTAATCAAACTAGTATTGTGAAGTACCATTGGTTTACCATTCAGTTGCCAGAAAGTAAAACTGGCAGTGATCCATAAAGCTTCCTGCACAGATGATAATTAAAACTGTATAAAAAATTAACAGCACACTCAGGATATACTGTTTCCACTTGGATTCCTGCAGTCCGCTTTGTGGCACCTGTTCTTCATGCTTCGATCACTTGTTTCTCTTCTTTTCTCTTTGTGTTTCAGCAGACCTCTATAAATATCCCACCCACTCTCCCATGGCCCATGCGGCCCTGATCTTTCCTGAGGGAGAGGAAATGTAGGCTGATTCAGGGACCCGATCTTTCTCCTGGGAGAGAGAAGAGCCCAGCATTGGAGGTCGGGAAGGATATGGCTTGTTTACAGTGGAGATCCCTGGAGGTTTGCACTGTACAGTTCAGTGTGGACAAAACATGGGCAACCATGAAAGGTAAGCACAACAATGAACATCAGATGAAAGCGAAACAATGCTTTTTCATGCATACTTAAAAGTGATTGGCTAGTGATATAAGGATTTAAAGTCAGCATGACACTGTTTGCAACCCATTTTACTTGTGAAATTCACTGTTGAATTGTGCACAAGACCAGAAAATTGGTGTTACACAAGTAAATTAGGTCAGTTTTAAATTAATGTTAACTTTGAAGAGACATGCTGGCATGTCTGTTAAAAAGGCCAGTGTTGGGAGTAACGCATTACAAAAGTAATAATATTACAGTAGTATATTACTTTTTGCTGTAACGCAGTAAGGCCTATATATTTTTTAGAAGTAACTTGAACTTTCTTGATTCAACAGAAAATAGAGACTTAATTCTTAGAGACTTAATTTTATTACTGTTTACATGTCCAGCATGGATTGTTAAACACACTCAGAAGATGTGAACAAACACAAATGTATAAAATCCTCAGGTTCTACATAAGAAAAAAACACAAATCGGAATGTTATTAACAAGGTAAAAATCTAAAAAACACAAAAGAAAAATATTGAAAAGGTACTATTTACAATTTTAAAATGACCACATTTAAGATAATATTAAGAAAAAATATTAACTGAAAATACAATTAAACTAAATTTCATTTTACCATCATTAATGAAGATGAGGAGGTGTTTAAGAAAACACTGCAGCACAACTTTGTGCACATTAACAGCATTGCTTTAAATGTTAGTGATTTGCTACAATATTTTGTCTGAAAATGCTTTGTCTAGATTTAAACAGCATGTTTTTTGTAAGGCTCATTAAGATTCCCTTCAGGACAGTGTGCATGCCTAGATGCATTGTTGCACAACAGGCCAATTTGATACTGAATCTGCCCTTGACACAGAACAATGCAGACAAAAGCAAATACTCTGTCTCATTCTACTCAGCTGATTCCACAAAGGTGAAGACAACATATTGTCTCAACCTTTTTTGGCTACTTATTTAGTAAATCAACAATGATTGCAGTCGAATAACTGCAACTGGTTAATAAATGGTGTGGATGGATGTTCTTAGAGGCACCTCTGATCAGAGCTCAAGTTTATATCAGGAGAATATACAAACACACAGAAGTCACCCTCTGCATATGTAGCGTCACTGTACGGTCCACTTGGGTGGTCAGACATAAAGTAGAAGTGGTCCTGAGCTGCGTTTATGAGAACGGTGTGACCAAAACTGTCAACGTCCATGATTCACGCCAAAAGCCTTCTGAACAGAGGCTGTTAGTATGCGATGCTAGTGTGAAGGCTGGTGGGAGGAAGCTTTCTGGCCCTGGCTGAGGGCCCAGTCTATCTTCATGTTGGCCAGAAGCAATGTGCAGGACAATAATGCCACAAGAGAGAGGGGCCATTGTTAAAAGAGCCAGTCCTAAACTTGGCCAAGAGTTGATTCGAGATGGCGGAGAAAATGTTAGACCTATAAATCTACAGAATCACATACTAATGGCGCTTTTCCACTGCATGGAACGGAACGGTACGGCTCGGTACCATTGATCATTCATCAGTCTGGTTTATGGACTGGGCCAGTTCCCAGGGACCTTATGGCACTTTTCCACTGCATGGTACGGCTCACTTTTGGGGGGTTTTCCACTGGGTACAGTACCTCCAAGGGCCACCAAAGCCTAAGACCATGCCAAAGACTGCCTAAAGTACTGCCTAGGATACTTGACATAGCTCAAGCAGACCACTAGGGCATCAGGGGCCCTGGATGCACACAATGGGACATGACCACTAGGGGCCTGGGCCCTCCCATCGCATACAGTGGGGACATAACCACTTGGGTAATGGCCTGCCCAGCATATACTGTGGGGCATTACCAATAGGGCCCCAGTCTACAGTGGGATATTACCACTATTTCATTGGACCATCCAGCACATACAGTGGGACATGAGCACTAGGGCCCCAGCCCCCTCGGTGCAGACTCTACGGCCATGACCTGCCAAGCCCATACATTGCAAAATGACTGCTGATTATGGAAAAAGGCCATAAAGGTGTGTGAAAATCAGACAAAGAATGGGCTATAGTGGGAACAAGATAAGACCTGGGTGAGCCCCTGAGAGTGAGTGTTTCAGATATCCTTCAAGCTTGTTTATGTATTCCTCATTGATCTGGGCGACTGGAGGAGAAGGTAGAGGGCATTGGGGGAGGGACGGAAGAGCTTTTAAGTCTGATTAACTCTCCTCGGATGACAGGTACACTGTGAGGAGGGGCAGATCGTCTGGCAACGATATTTGGTGGGATTCATCAGTGATAGCATTCCGATCATGACTGTCCTGTGTCTCCTCTACTCTTCCAATAATATTTATCAAAGTGCTCTCTGCTCTACCTTGTCTGACAGGACAGTATTTATAATACCACTCACTTTCGTTCTCTCCTCTATGTCTGCCTCTCCCACTGTGAAAGGAGAAACTCTCTCGCTGATTGTGAAGAGTAAATGACTGAGATTGTGTCAGAGGCACTTTAAAAAGTGGTGGCGGTTTGTTTCTTAATGCTTTCCGTGTCCAAGTATACTAGCTGAGTTTATGTAGGTTAGACACTAGACTAAGCAAACACCACAGAAAGCAAACAGACCTACCTGACAGCAGTTATATCTTACAATATTAGGAATCTTGCCTAATTTGTCTACTTTGCCTAGCTGATAACATTAGCATGAATAAGTCGTGAATGAAACACGGATCCTGTTTCCGCTGCTTGTCAAGAAATGCACTCCAAAAATAACTGGCAGTGGACCCTGGTAATGTGGGCCATGGGACTGTGTGCCAGCAAGCTCTTATATAGGGATGATATTGCTACACACACTATCTACCAAGCATCTCAAGCTTGGGCCAAAAATATACTCTACGCAAGTATGTTAACGCAGATGTGAATGCTAGGCCAATGGACTGCAAGTGGACTGTCTCATCAGACATACTTAATGTGCGTTCATATTCAAACCTCAGTACTCAAGGTAAGGTGGATTTACCTAAAAACATCAAGTATCAGTGAAAGTTTTATTCAGGTATCTCGCTAGAAACATGTCGACAGTTTAACTAACCTAAACTTGCTCAGCAAGATTCTCTATTGCTGCCTAACAGTAATAGACTTGAAAAAAAAAAAATCTATCCCCAGAAGAAATTCATTCCTGGAAATGAATTCACTTTTACGTTTATGCTAATATATGCTATAGCACTCCTTCTGGCAATGCTGAGAATATAACATAAAATTGAGGTAACTAAATAAACACGTCCACATACTTGTGCATGAGTATGTTTCAGCCCAAGAGGGAGCTTGCTGTGGGTTTATCCCACTCCTGCTTGTTTATTACACCCACACCTATAAATTATCCCCATCACTGTAATACAATCCAGTTCATACTCTTACTAACACACCATTAGCCCTTTCACAAAGACTTAAGATATAAGGTTTCTGCATCTAAACCCTTTTCGTTTGAACTCACAGTTGTCCCCGATTCTTTCACTCTTTTCTCAGCCAACTTCGGTCAATGCAAGTAGTATTTCTTAGGTAGGGAGAGCTTTGGGTTGGGGTAGAAAGAGGTTAGCAATGGCTTTCACCCCCCGCTGTTTTTAAAATTAGACTATTACCTAACATTCCCTACAACAGTGGGCCCCTACTAAGGCTTTTATTTATAATTGGGACTGAGAAGCTTTCTCAAGTGTATTTTACGGAGTTTTAAATTGGTATACACTAGTGGTATTCATTTTATAGCTCTTTTGTTCAATCAAATGAAAATATGAAAATGCTATTATATAAATATGCACTCAGCAAATGGCTTCAGCACCAGCAAATTTTTTCAAACCCCTTAAATGAAAGCAACCTAAGTGTTACGTTCCTCAGACAATAAAATGTATAATTGCCACAGTATCACGGGACTTTTGGGAGATAAAAACACAGCTTGCAAGAAAAACACAGCTTGCAAGGAAGAAATCAGTAGGGCTCTACAAATATGGACGGAACCACATAAAACATGTTTGGCTGCCATGACCAAGGCACAGTTGTTAAAACAGGGCAATGAAATCTGACTTTTTGTTATGATCGCACTAGGTAAGCAAATTTTAGAGAAAAGTCCCTATTTTATGACATCAAAACAAATAGCAGGTAAAATTCAGTCAAATGACTTTCCATGTGGTCTCAGACGTTTGGACCCCACTGTATATCAACATATTATTAACAAGTTATGATGCAGGCCACAGTCCTTACAGTCTTTATGATGATATATTATGACTTTCCCGGTCAGTTGGAAAACCACAGCCGAGAGTCCTGAGAAAAGGTGAACAGATGCAGAAATATTCCTAAGAGATATTCCTTTCTCCTCTTTCCTTTTCCTCTCTTTTTGCTCTGCAAGACTTCCCGTTCATCATTTATGCTGTGATTGCAGATGACTAATTGTGACATCCTAAAAACCGAAATGAAGAAAACCCCACAAACAACTGATTCGATAGAAAATAAAAGTATGAAAAGAAAAACCGAACAACAAAATCAATGTGCAAACTTTCTGATATAAATAGACTAGTCAACATGTTAGGAGAGCACCATGGGAAAGGAAAAAAAGGGTGAACATGAATGTGTGTCAGTATCTGTATGTGTGTTTGTAAGCATGTTTATGGTGGTGTTTTTGGACGTGTGAAATGAAAGGGAAGAACAGGGATCGAGGGTCATTCTGAGAGGTTAAACCCAGTCCTGCAGTGAACGTCTGCAGTGAACTAAATACTTGGGTGCTCCTTTCCTCTGTAATGTGTTAATGATAGCATAGATCAATCCCAAGATGCACAGCACCAGGACCAGGGGTACCGTCACCATGATGATGTTCATGGTACGTTCCGTCTCGTCTATCTTCAGAACCACATCCACCTCATTTGTTTTCTCTTCCGTCTCCTCTTTAGAGTCAACATCATTAGTTTTGTCTCTCTCTTTGTCCTTTTCCTTGTCTTTGTCTTTGTCTCGGCCAGCATCCGGATTGAAGGGTGGCCTGTCAGGCCACTTGCGTCCTGGATCCACATCGGTGTCTCTGTCAGGATTGAGGTCCACGTTACAGCCCATAAAGTCTCTAAGAATGGACTTTGGGTAGCCTGGCTCGCTCTTCATTCTGTGGTTGTCAAACTTCCAGTACTTTGTACCTTTGTAAAAGTATGTATAAGCTGTGTGAGAGACAAACAAGATTGGAGATTAAAAAAAAAAGTGTTAAAGTGCATCACTGACATAACATAAAAAACTAAAGCTTATCTACCAGATAATAAGATTATCTGGCCAAAATATGCTAAATATAGGCTAAATATATGTTGTAAACAGTGAAGCTGAATAAAATCTACTTTTGAAATTGAAAATATATTTGGTTTTAACCTTCACATACCAAAATATATTTCAAAATGTATTTCAGGGGCCAGAAAAAAAACAAAAAAAAACATTTCCAGTCATTCAGTAGCCCACATGTAGGCCTAATGCAAATGAGGATAGAAAAGCCTACTACAGATTAAACTAGATTTATAATGATTTTATAATGTTACATTTTTTATATATTGAAATGTTGCACTTTTTTGGAACATTGTAAAGTATGTTCCTTGCTGATTTTTATTTAATTGTGTTATATGTTCACACGTTATATAGACAATTAAGTTGTTCTTCAAATGTGACAAGAATGTATTTTCTTGGATTTAAATATATGGAGGAAAAATATATTTGTAAATGGTTTAATATATATATATATATATTATTTATAATTAATATAATTATTAATATATATTATTAATAATTAATAAGAATATACTGTGTATATATATATATATTTATATTTTATTTTTTTATAGACAAGAAATAACCAAAAAATATCTTGATTTCCATAAATATATTTTGAAACATATTTTTTTTTAAATATATTGCCATATGGGTTGAGACTGTCAGGTCAAATGAATGTGAAGCTCAACTGTAAATGTTTATAATTATAATGGACATCTATGGGATGAACGTTAAAATACACACTTGGCCTATTTACAATAGTCACCTCATGCTTCTTGATCAGTCAGACTGCCATCTCAGGTTATGTGCATTACATTTACAGCTGACCATATAAATATGTACAGTATAAACAAAAATAAATCCGAACTACTATTTTTGTGGTATATGCAACAGATTTAACTTTCTTGCAATGGCAGACAGCTGAGGTAGTCCTGAGCTGGTCGGAATAATTTGATAGCTTGCAGTCTCGAATTTTGTCATGAAACTCCATACCTTTTGCACATTACCTACAAGAATACCAGAACGGGACCAATTACATAAACAAATTCAGCCACTCGAATTACATTGGTAACAAATAACTAGAACTTAATCTAATAAAAGGACAATTTAGACAGGAATTTACAGCTCAAACAACATTAAATGACACATTTTTGCTTTAACAAAACTACAAGCTTCACATTTCTGATTTTAAACTCGTAAACTTACCATTACATGTGCATTACTGTACTTTTTTTCACACTTAGGGCTTTCAAACTTAAATCAAAATTATAATCTATGGTAATCGATAGACATTTACATTTATTCATTTAGCAGTCGCTTTTATCCAAAGCGACTTACAGTTGAGGAATATAACAAGCAATTCATAATAGCCAGACATGCCACAGATCCTGTCAACACAGTTTAATTTGTTTTAAACCAGGAATATTCCTTTAAATGGGAAAACGCTTTCAGTAATATAAGTGTTTCCCAATAATATCCTATTATTTCCACAAATCACATTTCATACATTACATTCTCTCACTTCCTTTGTTTCACCATCTGATTGTTCTGCATCCATCCTGTACATGAAGGTGACAGGCACTGGATGTGGATGACCCCCTCAACCCCACACACCATTTCACTCACTCACCTCCATCATCGCTGAGGAAGGCCCCCTTGGGAGAAGACGGCACAGAAGTGCCCCACACACTAATTGGCTTAGGGTAGTCCTGATCTGCAGCTCTGGAGTGCTCATTAAAGCGCCAGTACCTGTAGTTTATCAATCATACCTCAATGAGAATCATTCTGCCTTTTCTTGATGCAGTTATTTAAGCAACAGCACAGTGACCCCATTTACACATGTTATTAACATTCATCACAGATGATCCGATCACAGGGGCACAGCACTGAAACCACTAACCATATTCAATGTTGTCACTTATCATAAATTATCATAAATGCTGATGCAAAACAAACACTTAAAAAAGCCTACTTTAGGTAGCATTTCATCATTGTGCCAAATCAAGGGATTCAAACTTGTTCAGATATGTATGGCTTTAAAAATAAACAATTAAATAAAGCATATGAACAAGATTGACATTGTCTATATTTATCAAATTTTCAACAACTTTTTGAATTCAATTACATGTGTTGCAACCAAGTAAAAAGTAATAACATTTTCTGAAAACCATGAATACATCTGAGCACACACATATTAACTATTTTCTAAAAAGTTTTTATACAAATATTATTAAATTATAAAATAATAAAAGTATAAATTATTATTATTATTATTATTATGCACAAATATTTTTTAATTAAACATTTTTTGGGAAATAACACCATGTCTTTTTACGATATAAATAAACACTCCTGTCATAAATGTGTAATTATCAGACTTTTTTAAAAGAGACTTATTGACATTAACACTCATATGGGTCTGCAAGGCTTCTCTCTCTATGACATAATTTCCTGTTTTTCTAAATGAATTTAATTTCGCAGAAAGGTAACAAGACATGTTAATACCATGAATAAACTTCAATCTGTCTCGGCTGATCACTTGTGATTAGTGATTAGACAATAAACATTAAAGGCAGTATTATTTGTGGAACAAAAAAACAAGACTATCCCCTCACCAGTCTCCTTTGAAGAAGTAAGTGAAGCCAGAAGGTTCCCACCAGATGGCCGTCTCTATCTTGTCATATGGGATGTCTCTGCCATAGTCTATCAGTTCTTGAGGGTAGCCGGGCTCCAGGTTGGCTTCTCTGAACAACCAATACTGACTTCCTACAGGTGGATGGACATGAGAGAGAAAGGTGGAAGTAGTGATAATCTGACGCTTTTTTGTGAATTTTGAATAGATATTGTGTAAACGTTTTTTGAAAGTTTATATATATATATATATATATTATTTCAGCAATTCTATGTTTAGCCGTGTCCCAATTCAGAGGCTGCATTCCAAGACTGAATGCGTCACAGCGGCACAGCAAAAGGCTGTCCCAATTCAAATATTCCTTCAAATGCGGTCTTTGTTCCGCGGGTCATGAAGGAAACAAAGAATGGATCCTTTGCAGCCCAGACTGTCTCAAGATTCATTGCGCACTGATGACGACAGGATTTTATTTTTTTTATTTTTTTTTAGAGAAAATGCTGGATCATACTTTTAAATGCAAGTTTCAACTCTCTCAAATATTTAACATAAATGTTTTAAGACAAAAAAAAAAAACACTTTAAAGCAGTTCAAATGTTGACTTATGCCTTACCAAGATGTGATTTTATAGATTATTTTATTATGTACATAAATGGATCAAGGTGAACACACACTGGCCACTTTACACCTTGCTAGTACCGGGTTGGACCTCTTTTGCATTCAGAACTGCTTTAATTCTTTGTGGCATTTATTCAACAAGGTGCTACAAACATTCCTCAGAGATTTTGGTCTATATTGACATGGTAGCATCACGCAGTTGCTGCAGATTTATCGGCTGCACATCCATGATGCGAATCTCCCGTTCCATCAAATCCCAAACGTGCTCTACTGGATGGAGATCTGGTGACTGTGGAGGCCATTTGATTATAGTCAACTCATTGTCGTGTTCAAGAAACCAGTTTGAGATGATTTGAGCTTTGTGCATTATCCATTTAACAATGCTTGGTTCGACTTCTCCGACTTAAAGGTGTGGCCTTCGAAGTCTACATCCTTTGAAGGATATGACCCCTGAATTGAGACACAGCTTTTGTCTCATTTGCCATCATACAGGTTTATATATCGGCCATCCGGTGAAAACAACATATTGGTTAACCACTAGAAAACAGGTTTAAAAAACCCTCAAAAGTTCAAAAATGGACATCAAGAGAAAGAGAAGAGAGGTTGAAAACAATGGCAAGGAAATAGAAAAGACAAGAAAGCGGAGGCAGCAACACTCAACTGGTAACAGGATTTCATGGTGCATGTAGAGGGACTTTCCGACCTTTGGCACAATAATATAAACTCCAAAACTCAACCACAGATTTGTGTTTACTCTCTATTATAACACAAATAACTGCATTACAACACTGCAAGAGATGCACCAACAATGCGGGTTTGGTTTGAATCCCACATTTTAGCGGTTCAAGTGACGGCAAAGCATCGCAATGGAGCCGTTACAGAAACACTGGGATAACACTTGTATTTTATTATTTTACAGTATGGCAGACACTGAGGCACCGTCATCATGGGCCCATTTGATTCAGTGGGCCCATATCCAAGTCCAACCGTAGCTGTCAGCATCTGGTAGAACCGCTAGCTGATGCAATGGCCTCGCCTCAATAAGAACAGGTGTTGCTCCCCAAGATTTTTGGTCTCCCGGATTTCTCCAATTGCAGAAATCCAAATTTTAAAGGGCCTTGCCAATGACATCACTTGCTCTACACGGCTTCCTTATGGGAGCCAGCTTTCCTCAAGTCTAACAAATTTACATTCATCTTTACAGAAATCCTCACCAGGAAGTTATTAGATGTCTGTTTCAGGGGTGTTGATATGTATAACTAATGTAGGAAACCTCACTGTGGTTTGAGCAGTTTTTTTTTTTCAAGGTAAAGTTATCTACACTCTTAAAAATAAAGGTGCTTCACGATGCCATAGAAGAACCTTTTTGTCTAAATGGTTCCATAAAGAACCTTTAACATCTGAAGCACCTTTCTGTTTCACAAAAGGATCTTTGTGGCGAAAGAAGGTTCTTCAGATTACAAAAAGGTAAGAAAGAGATGGTTCTTTAAAGAACCTTTGACTAAATGGTTCTTTGCGGAACCAAAAATGGTTCTTCTATGGCATCGCTTGAAGAACCTTTTGAAGCACCTTTATTTTTAAGAGTGTACCTGGATGTTAGTATGGATGTGTTTGAAACCGCAAATATGACCTGTAAAGGTTCTGGAAGCCCCAGTAAGAATGGATTAGGCAAAAAGCAAAATATGTTTATGAATGTATATGTGTAATGGAGTTACATTATTGTGCTTTTAAAAAATCATCAAAAAAATTATATTTTTTTAACATTAAGAACATTTTTGAATGAAAAAATATATATTTTTACAAATCTGGCAAGTACAAAAATTTAACATTTTTTAAATAAAAAATTTTGGTCATAGGACAGTTTTCATAAAGAAAATTTGAATGAAAAAAAAAATTTATGACAAATTTAAATGCTAAAAAAAAAATTTCAGTAGCTGAAAATAATAATTAAAAAAATAAAAACAGCAAAAATCCTTATTGTTAATGATTGAAGCAAAGCAAATAAGAGTTAAAGCATTTACTGAGTTTTGCTTCCTTTGCAAAATGTATGGCCAATCTCCAGAATTATACAGGTCCAAAATTAAATGTTGTCCATTTACCTTAAACTCATATATAAACCAAAAAGTCATGTCTACCTGTAAAATCCATTAGACTAACACATAAGTGGTTGAGGGAAATCAAGGGCGCTTCCTGTTCTAAATGACAAACGTCAAAAATCAATGGTTTGTTCTAATGTAAAAAGCACTTCAATGTGATGTAATTCTGCCAGCCTGGGTAATAATTTTGCTCACAAATATAACATTTTTATGGTCTATATTAACTTTTAAGAACACAGAGCTATATCAATGTTCAAGTGCAGTTGGAAAGAGAAAATACCTTTGAAAAACACAAATCGCCCATCATGCCTTTCATACGCAGCGTCAATGTCTCCCGGCAGACCCCTCCAGAAGTGTCCAATAGGCATTGGGTAGTTATCCAGCACTCTGTTCCTTCTCACTCTCCAGAACCAGCGGCCCTGAGGAGGCAATAAGAGATGAATCAGAGACCACATGATAATGGTTGTGTATTTCTGTCCTAATGGTGGTCAGGTTTATTAGTGGTCCCAGAACCCTCAGTTGACATGTGCACTGCTTAGAATAGGAGGGTTTCTGGTTCTCTTCCAGACCAAGAAGTCTTCTCAGACTTCTAGTCCTACAGCCTGCCCTGTACATTCTCCAAACCATTTTCCCTTAAAGGGATAGTTCACCTATGAACTATAAAAAAACATTTTAGTTTATTATATAGTTCATTTTATACATTAAAATGAAATTTCTCTCATCATTTACTCACCCTGTATTAGTTTCTTTCTTTTATTGAGCACAAAAAAAGAGAAGATATTTTAAAGAATGTTGGCAATCAAACAGTTGATGGTAGCCACTGACTTCCATGGTATGTAAAAAAAAAAAATACTATGGAAGTCAATGGCTACCAGCAACTTCAAAATATCTTCTTTTATGTTCAACAGAAGAAAGAAACTCATACATGTGAGTGAGTAAATGATGACAACTTTCATTTTTGGGTGAACTATCCCTTTAAATGTGTAACAGAATGAGAATCAGGCAACAACAAAGAAGGGACCAAAAAGTTAGAAACTTTCAGATTTCAGACTACTTAGATTATCAGTGTAAATTTGTCTCTCTTTTTTTGCCCACCAAAAATTGTACACCTGATTACAAATCGTTAACAACAATCTGACGTATAATTTAGGAGGTGCAGGAAGAGTTATGCACTGAAGATTAATATTTAGGACACCTGACCCTTAATATGAGCTGCCGTAGTAGTAATGCTTGCAAACGCAAACAAATCATGTATACACTCTATACAGGTAAAGACAAACACATCAGGCACATGTACATACACTCATTGTATAATTTACACTTCAGGTTTTCCACCAGGACCTTCAGTACGTTCCAAACCAAGCCCAGATTAAAACCAGAGCAGAGTCTGCAGCCAACACAATCTAAATTTATCCTGCTTTCTCCCTGCACACTCCTCAACCCCAACACCTCATCACAAACACACACACACACACACACAAACACACACACACACACCTTGTTCTCGCATGGAGGAACACAATCCTGTATGAGGAAACTTGTAGGGCTGTTACATGGGGAATGGCCTTATTTCAGAAACCTGCCTTTTTAAGCATGGGAAGTGCAGATTACTGTTGGGTGGTCCTTCACTCAAGGGTGTCTGATTGTTGTCCAATGGGTAACTTAACTACTGTGGTCAGTTAAACAGTAACACCGGTAACAAAAACGCATGAATATTTGCCAACAAACTGTGCTCGTCCAGTAAGTTCTGCCTCTGGTTCACCACATCTACAAATACGATGGCTAAAAATAATTTGTACAGAATTATGTTTTAATCATGTAAATTATAATAACATTTAAATATAAAAGTAACAACCTCTATAAATAACAAATATAAAAAAATTAATAATTATGTATAAATTATATATATATATAATAAAAATAAAATAATTGTAACAATAATAATTATTATTACTAAATTAAAAAATATTTTAGAATAAAAAATGTTTTAAAATTTTGTAGAAAACACAAATGTAAAATTCACAATTTATTCATTAGTCAAAACAACCCACTCCCAAGTGTCCATGCTATTTTGGTGCCTAAATATCTATCTGCAGTAAGGTTAATTATGACGCTGACATATTTGCTCAATGACATCATGAGGATTTTTAAAATAACCTAGTGTAGTATGTTTTGTCAAGCATTTCCAAATACAAACATCTTTTCATTCTTTTAAATACTGTACATTCCTTCTAATTTCTCTAACAGCAAGACTAAAGCCTTTTTCATCTAATGGAAATAAAGTGAAAGATCGTATAATGTGGTCAGTGTTTTTCCAGATAAAAAGAGAGAGGAATTAAAGACACTCTGCCACAGAGAGTACTTCTTTCATGCAGGAGCAAATCACATGACGTGACCACAAAACCACAACTCCAGCAAACGAGGTAAAGCAGATGAAGTCTGATGTGTCTGCTGATTAACTCCAGACTTCAAATAGACGTCTCCTTTCTTCTTTATGGAGCTCTGCCCCATAACAAAGATCAGCACTGGGGTTTTTACGGCCGATTGCCTAACAAAGCCTGATTGAGAGCAGGTCGACCTCAGCAGGACTCCACCTGCATGTCAGGGCTTTCACCTGGAACCTTGCACTGTTATTGTTTCAGCGCTTGACCTGATCTGATTCAGAAAGCTGAGTGAATCTCATGAAGCCTGTCAAAAACATGCCTGGGACATATTTAATCCAATGGGGGAGTTTTTTTTGTTTAGTTTTTTTGAATAAAGAAAATGCAATTTTAGACTTTTTAGTGGTTTTATTGCTATAAAGATTTTTTCAAATGTAATTCTTATTACCATAAAACAGAAAAAAAAAACTTGTGGATTTGCAGGGTCTTTAGCTTACCTTAAAAACAAACATTTCTCCCCTAAGCATGGTGACTGTGTCAAAATTGCCCTCGCAGATGTTGGGGCCGTAGTGATCTGGGCGATCTGTAGTGCGAGGCCTGTCCGGCCGGCGAGGGGGAACTCCGGGAGGGTTCTTCGGAGGATGGGGTGCCCTGGGGTCTGGATGGGCTGGTCGCCGGGGGGTCACAGTGGGGAGAGCCTGAGTGGGAGAACTGCTAGGGGGTCCTACAAGAAACCAACAAATACAAATAACTTACAGAATTTGTAAAAATAATAGGATAGCATTGTGGCAACCTCTTAGTTCAGTCTATGATAAATATAATATAGAGAACTCAATTTTATGCAAATTTTACAGAACATCAAGAACACATCCAGGTCACATTTCATCCCATAAAATATATTTTAATTAAAATAAATGAAGCCTATTTGCTGACCATAATAATAATTTGTGACATTATTTCCTCTTACAGTTGTCATAAATAGTAATATTTATTCATACCATTTTTAAACAACACGGTAGTATTTGTTGTACTGTCTTTATGTAGATTTAAATAAAAAAATATTACAGTCATTAGTTTATGCAATGCATAATGATAATATAGAGACACACCACTTGAGAATTAAAGGGGGAAAAAAAACAAAAAGTAACCATTACGATAATGAGAATTTGGGGAAAATTTGTCATGAAAACAAATGTCACAAAACGTTAAATCCTATTGGTCCAAAAACTAGGCTTCATTTTCTGCATGCAAAACAGAAAATATTTTCTTCTATTTTTAATGTATGAGCAATAAGTGATGCTGGCCTTCGCAAACTCTAAAAATAAATTAAATGATTAATGAATTTGCCATGACATAACCAAAATAACGTTCTTCTAGCCACAGCTGAATCTCCCTCATGTAAAACTAAAACAAACATTTCTAAAGTCCACAAATACCAGAGTATTTCAAAGAAACACGGCCTGGTCAAATGCAATGTAAACCAACTTAATGCAAAAAAACAAGTATTAGAAAACTTACACCATACGCTTGAACCACACTTAAACTACTTACTGTAAACAAACCAAAAAAAAAAAAGTTTATAATACCTCTGGTCACAAAACTTAATCTAAAGCTGTAAATCTATAAAGTGCCTATAAACATTTTCTGCACTTCTTCCTCATAGGAGAACAACAGATAACAGGATCCGGAAATGAAATGCATCAGACCTGAACAAATGTTGCACATTGTCTCAATGCACTGACCGCTATGCCATAACTTCAACTAAACACTTGTTCTGTGTTGTTTTAAACTGCACACTTGATGAGTATGGAAGATAATAAATAAATAAATAAATTTGCAATTCAGACCTTTTCCCTTACAATTCTAAGTTTATATCTCACAATTTAGACATATTCCCCCCTCACAATTCTGACTCACACAAAATCATATAAACTCATAAACACGCAATTGAGAGAGAAAAAAAAAGCTTGTTTCCACCATAGGAATAACAAAAGGAAATTTAAACTTTTTCTCTCACAAATTCCAACTTTTTTTAATTTCTCATAATTTAGACTTTTTTTTCTCAGAATTCCAAGGTTATAAAAAATTTAATGAGGTAATTGCAACTTTCTCACAGTTCTGACTTTTTTCTTTCAATTCTGATAACAATTTTGAGGGAAATTGTCAAAGTCACAATTACCTCTTTTTATTTTTTATTCCTTGGTGGAAAAAAGCTTTTTTTTCTTTTCGAGTTTATGAGTCAGAATTGCAAGAAAATAAGTATTGAATTTGTGGTATATATAAAATTGCAATTCTGAGAAAAAAGCTTGACAACTGACTTTTTCCCCCCTCTCTTTTTTTTTTTAGATCTCACAATTCTGACTTTTATTTTCAGAAATGATAGTTTATATCTTGCAGATTTTCAAGAAAAAATTGTGGGATAAAAAGTCGCAATTACTTATATATACGCTGAACACAATTATAAACGCAACTCTTTTGTTTTTGTCCCCATTTTTCATGAGCTGAACTCAAAGATCTAAGACTTTTTCTATGTACACAAAAGGCCTATTTCTCTCAAATATTGTTCACAAATCTGTCTAAATCTGTGTTAGTGAGCACTTCTTCTTTGCTGAGATAATCCATCCACATCACAGGTGTGGCATATCAAGATGCTGATTAGACAGCATGATTATTACACAGGTGTGCCTTAGGCTGGCCACAAGAAAAGGCCACTCTAAAATGTGCAGTTCCCTTTCGATACTTCACTCGTACTGCGTCTTGCTTAAGACGCATATGG